GGAGGAGGAGGAGGAGGAGGAGAAGCAGAGGAGGACGAGGACGAGGAGGAGAAATAGGCCCGGCTGAGCCGCCCGCCTCGCGCGGGCGGGCGGGGGGACGACGACGCCGTGCGGGCGGCCCGCGGGAGCGACGGCGGCGGCGGGCCGCGGCTCCGCGGCCGGTGGCTCCGCGGGCGGGGCCGCCTGGCGCGGAGAGTGGGCCCTCCGAACTCCACTGCGGTCGGGGCGCCCGTGCTTGTGCTCCAACAAGCTCCTCCTCCTCCCTCCGCCCTCCTCCTCCTCCTCCTCCTCCTCCTCCTCCTCCTTCGCATCCTTCCTCTCCTCCTCCTCCTCCCCCTCCCTTCCTCCCCCTCCTTCCTCCCCGCATCCTCCTCCCTCCTCCCCTCCTCCTCCTCCCCCTCCCCCTCCTCCTCCTCATCCTGCCTTCTCCTCCTCCTCCTCCTCCTCATCATCAATCCTCATCCTCCGTCGCTCGTCCTCCTCCCTCCTCATCCTCCTCCTCCTCCTGCTCTCCTGCGCTCCTCCTCCCCCGCCTCTCCTCCTCCTCTCCCTCCTCCTCGTCCTACGTCTCCTCCTCCTTCCTTCCTCACTCCTCCTACCTCCTCCTCTCCTCCTCCTCCTCCTCCTGCTCCTCCCCTCCTCCTCCTCCCCCTCCTCCTCCTCCTCCTCCTCCGCCTCCACCTCCTTCTCCTCCTCCTCCTCCTCCTCCTCCTCCTCTTCAGCCAGGTTGTGGTGTTGGATCGTCGTTTTGGAACAGCAGAGCCACGCGTCGCCCTTCCTTCCAGCGCCCCCCCCCCTTCAGGAATCCAGCCTTGGGACCGTCGAAGGGAACCGCTTCGAGAAGGGCGCGCACCCCCCTCCCCTCTCGCCCCCCCCCCCACCCCCCCCGGGCGAGGACCGCCTTCAGGCCTCACCCGTGAGCACCGCCAATAGACCTCACACCCCGCGCAGCTTCCATCATCGGGGCTGCGTGGGTCCCCCCACGTAGGGGCCCGACCTCAAGAAACCTTCCACAAGAAAGCCAACCCTGAGACCCCAGGACGTCCATTGATTTCTGGTGTGGGGACGTCACGCTTTCCAGAGCAAAACCATCAACATCCGAGAAACCCATGGCACCCTGGAGACAAGCAGAGTGTTTATTGGCATGGGCCCCCACTGTACTCATGACAGTGTCAATAGCCACAGGAAGGGGCCGAGGACTCCTGTGGGGACCCCTCGGCAAGGAAGACGTACCCAGAAGAGGGTCCAACGTACCTCCACATCTGTACAACTTTCCATTCTGGCGTCAATTGCCACCCACGCGGGTTTCCTCCGTGAAGCCGCGCACAGGGTATAGTCGCCTGCCGGTTCATTGTGCCTGTCGGCGTCGGTTCTCCGATGCATTATGGTATGCTGTACACTTGCCACCAGAGGGTGCTGAACCTTTTTTTCACACCCCGCCCATTCGAGTGACGGGTCGACCCTTGCCGCTTCGGCGCCACCTTTGGGGGTCGGCCCCGTTCCCCGCCACCTAACCCGTGCTCGTCAAGGACAGGGATAAACCCGAAACCGCGAGGGCATGTTCTCTCGTCTCTTTCGCTTTGGCGCTCTGACACACCCGCCTCTCCCGCCCTCCGACCCTCTGTCTTTGGCCCCCCTATTGCAATCGTCTGTCTCTCCCCCCCTGCTGCCCGTCGGGGCGGTGGCGTTGGGGGCTGGTGGCAGGAGAGCCCAGCCTTGAATCGACAAGTCGGATCGGAAGTCGACATAAGTCGGATCTTGGCGGCACGCACGAGGGGCTGGGGAGAGGGGGAGGGCTTCTTAGAAGGAGACTGCTTCTCAGAAGGCGCCGGCCTCACATCTATTGATAGGGCCCGCGCCGTCTAAGAAGCAGGGGTGCTTCTAAGAAGCCCTCCCCCTTCCCCCCACCCCCCCTCTGCGCGTGGCTGAGGATCGGCGGAAATCGGCAGCCCAGTCGGGAAAAGTCGAATGGGAAGATATCGGCAGGCTAGCAAGCCTCCAAAAAGAAATCGGACCCCTGATCGGAATCCCGAGTCGAATCGAATCGGAATCGGAAGCTATCGAAATTGAACCGAATCGAATCGGAGGAATCCTCCGATCCCGTCCCCGAGCCAGCCTCAGGCCCAGGAGCGCCCCTGCCAAGACAACCCGTCTCCGCCGCCCAGCCGCCAGTAGAGTCCCGCGCTTCGGTCGGGCAGGCGGCGCAGGAGGACGCCGGCGGAAACCATGACAACGCTTTCCCCCTCCTCCAGCACCTCCTCCTCCTCCTCCTCCTTCTCCTCCCCCCTCCTCTCCTCCTCCCTCCCCTCCCTCCTCCTTCCTCCCTCTCCTCCTCCTCCTTCCTCCTCCCCCTCCTCCTCCTCCTCCTCCTCCTCCTCCTCCTCCTCCTCCTCCTCCTCCTCCTCCTCCTCCGTCCTCCCTCCTCCTCCTCCTCGGCCAACGCGGGCGTCCCCAGAGGAGGGTCCAGCGAATCTCCACACTTGGCCAACTCTTCCATTGT